ATTAATAAAGTTAGTTCAACCGATATGTCACGAAATGAGGGTTAAATTTAGGAGGAAAATATTAGAGGGTACAAAAAGATCTCTACCGTTAACGTCCCCTACAAAGACAGTTTAGTTAGCATGAAAATTTGCCCTAGCAGCGCTTAGATGGTAACTGAGACAAAAAAATGGAGGCTAATGGGTTTACCCGCCATTGTTCGGGTTTGTTCAACTTCACAGCGACAATATCGTTGGGCAGGGCTCGGTTTAAGGCCTTTGCAAAGAGGAGGATTCGATTCCCATCAGAGGGATTGATCACGTAGGCTGAGTTCTCCGAGGTGTAACACAGTCGACCCTTTAAAGGTGGGAAGGAAAGGAAAGGAGAATTGAGAAGAACGTTCCCTAGCCTGAGGCAATTTAACATTAATTTTTTGGCACTAAACGTCTACTTTCAGGAAGTGTTGGGTAGTGAAATTTAGTTATAGCGAAAGGACTGTTTTAACATCTCGGTAGCACTAACTCATCTTATGGCGTCTTGGGCTGTTCATTAGCTGTCACTAATCGGTTTATTCTTCGTAATCGTGACCGCAGGCCCAGAACGTTACGTTTCTGTTACCCTTAGAACGACTTATATTAGGCTCTCAGTTTACTCTGAAGTAGTAAAATTATTTAATGTTCAGAATTTCGTAGTCTACTTCACCATAATGATGAAGCCCAGGGTAAAACGCAAGTTCGGTCAACTGACCAGACAGAACGCGCTATCCTACGCATGGGAGAGCGAAGCAGGTAAAAATACCTCAACAAGAAGATCGGTATTGAGCATACGGTTGATGAAGGGTCGTGGCCAGTAGGAATCGTAACTCCGAAATGACCTCTACAAGACACAAAGTATACGTGCACGATGGAGTAACAAAGATTGAATCAACAAAGGAAGATAAGGAGGAAAGGAGGTTGACCTCACCGTGGATTTGAAACGAGCAATACTCACGAGCCATCGCTGATGCGTGAGGAACCGTAAGCGGACCACTGGTTCAACCCGCATCCAGTAACTAAAAAACAAATAAATCATCAAACGCGCAAATCAGGGTTTCTTTCGAACAGCATTTCAGGCCTTGTCAGTAAATTATGCGCTCCAGCATTGCCAATAAATTTCATGCCCCAACATTCAGCTGTTGCTAGTCGTGATTTTGTGCATTTAGCAAATTTGTTGATTCATTAAAACTAGTACTGTTTGCTGGAGAACGAATAACATATAACTGGAGTCGGCCTAGTAATGAAATCTAGCCTCAATGAAATGCCATCTACTAAAGCTAACTGTACGACAAATTCATGGGCGAATAGGCATTAAGCAAACAGACAAAAAACGACTTGGCTTCAAGCAGACTTTGCGCCAGAAGTTAATTGATGACGGCGAGCAAGAAGAATCTGTAGAGAGAACTGTCTCCAGTATTTATTACTCCAAAGTGCTTGTTCTGGAGTACAGTGAGAGGAGTAAATCGGATGTAAGAGCGTACAGGCACACAACAAGAAAGGGGGCGGATGGGAGGGTGGAGAGGGAGAGGAATGGGAGGTGTAAAAGGGTAGAGAGTGGTGACATGGGAAAGAACGAAAGACCTAAAGGAAAAGACCCTGACTTCTGCTGATATTGTCATTGCTGCTGCCATTTTTTTCTGCCACTCTACGACGCGTAGGTCTCACAGAGGGCGCAAGTGGGACGTAGCATCGTCACCTGCGAGGAGAAAAGGACCAAAGTATGGGATTAAAGGACCAAGACACTGAAAACAATCGCGTCAACAAAAAAATATGGCAATGAGAGAAGATGGTCTGGAAATAAATCCAGGACCACTTCGTAGGGCCTCGTTAGAATACAATGCCATGCGATGGTGTGTTTAAGCTGGAGGACAATTTACCTTACGAATTATAAGATGGATAAAGCATCGGAGGCGGCCCACCCAGATCCCAGGGTTCCGAATCAATATTCAGAATCAGCCTACTCTCAGTCTAGAAAAGCGATTTCTGCTATTCCCTTTTGCGATTGGTTCCTAACTCATCTGTCGGCATCATATCTAGCCTTGTTTCATGAAAAAAGTCCCACTGTTTGCTTTCGTTTGTGAATGATGCTTCCTACAATTACTTCTATTTTCACCTTGAGTTGAACCCTGTCATGAGTTTTTTTGGTCGTTCATTAATGGCTTGCCGAGTGATTCCGTTAGTGAAACACTATTCATATCAATATTGCAGTAGTCCTTTTGAGCTAAACAGTGTCTTCTTTAAACACGAGACATTTTAAATTTCTTACTGAAATGCCAGATCCAAATTTATCAAACTACACCGAAATCTAGAGCAGATTTTTGGGTTCCCGTCATTCCAGAGGAATTCGCAAACGCCTCAGATTGCTCATTACTCAAGGATTATCCAAATGTTAAATTTACAAAGATGGTAACCCTGTAAATGGGTAGACAGCGGCACATATGTCATAACCATTGGTAAAATCATCCCACCTTCAGTCTAGAAAGATGGTTACTGTTGTTGCCCTTCTTTTGCTGAAATGTTGGGGCCTTAGCTTGTTAACTAAAAGACGCGGCTTTTAAGTATCGGCAAAGTCACGTATTCAAGACCAAGCAGAAAAATGAAAAAAAATACTGAGTATCAGGTCTATTAATGAGCCTTCCCTCCTGCTGATCTGAATTCCCCAGGTCTATGCAGAAGTGTGGGTTGGATTTTTCAGCCCTCCATTTCAATGTCATCTTTAAGTGCCGAAACCCTTGCTATTGAACCAACGCAAGTCCAGTTCAAACTTGACAGATTGGCTCTTCTGTATTTGCCCGGAGCACATGGGCTCTCTTGGTAGAAGGTTTAAGTGAAGTCGACTACGCCTCCTCAGAAGTTGCTTTTTGAACAAAACACATAACTGTCATTAATAGCTTCCATAATTGCTTAACTTTTCCTCCTCCCTCTCCTCTCCTCAGGGTTACGCCAAATTGCATCAAGACGACACCGATACCTAATAATGGTCGCTTTCATTAAAAAAAGTAAGTGACGGAGCGAATTGTGCTCAAGATTAGCTGGCACGACGGTAAGTTGTTTCAAACTGGTATGACAGTAGCATGATATTGCATCGAACAAAAGGGGAATCAAGTCTTAGTCCTCCCAGTGATTTGCACATTTGCCTGTTTAACTACACAGGTTCCTCAGTCTCCCCAAGCTTTGATCATCATTTTGGCCCTTCGCCCATTTCACCTATGTCAGCAGCTTACCAGACCTTTTATGCACTCTTGCTATAACCCCTTTGGGAAGGATTGTAGCGCTACAATGAATTCAAAAAACATCGAATGCACTCGAACAAACAGAAGGTGGAACCTAAAATCCAACCCACCTTCAATTTGAGAAGCCGATTACCGTTGCTACCGCCGACGCTGCTGTTGATGGCATCCACCTCACTAGTCTTTGCAATGTTGGGGGGTGAGGCCTCATCAAGCGCTACGAGGCATCTGCAAAGGTCGAAGAGGTGTAACTCCTGACGAAAGCAGCCGCAGGGAGCAGGTAACGAATGCGGTGGTCGGGCGTCACCTCCAGCGAGTGCGGGTACCGCGTTCAGTACTGCCGGGTCGGATAGCAGGGGTGAAGGAGGACTGGCGACGATGGCAGATGATTTGGGAGATACCACGCTTTCTGAAGACCGCATGTTCCACTGCAGGTGGAGGACTCCGGCACCTACCACCCCTTTGTCACCCGTTGCTGCCTCCTCGTATTCGTAACAGCTTAGGTCCAGTCTCTGCATAACAGTGAGAGAATGAAGTAGATTACAAACCTTGTGGTCGATGTACCTCAAGTTCTTCCCTCCTTATGATTGCGCGTGTGAATTCCATTTAGCATCGGCATGGTCTCCAACACCATCCAATAATAAAAACAAGCAGTGGTAAATCCTATTTGGATAATTCTAGCTCTATCGGTTTAGCAAAATATTTTCCTCTGTGGTCGCTGTGGACTAATAAATAAAAGCCTCTTTTCAGCCAGGCTCAAGATTTGTGTCTAAAAAATTTTAGTATTTAAAAGCAGGCATTGTTAAATGTTGAAAAAAATCAGGCCCACTCAAAAATTTTAGTGACTAATTTTGCTCTCATACGTTGGAGAAGTAGCAAAGCTGGTGCTTAATCGTTCTTAAGGCTTAACCACAAAATAATAAAAGTGTCAGAAAGCCTTTTCAAGTAAACCAAGCGAACATTTCAAAACTTCGATCAACTCTAGAAATAGACGCAGTTCGCATGTGTGAGGATTCTTCAAAGAATTTTCCCACGTTTACAAACGTATTTAAGGAGCAGCAGTAATTACGATATTTGCGTCATGCGACGAATTCTGTCTGGCAGATGTCGGCTATTCCGACAGCTCGTAGCAGAATTTATCACCCTAAAATCAAGGTGGGTAGGAAACCCATCACCTGCTTGCGCTACGGGTGTGTGTGTGCCTGAAGTACAAATTCACCACCGATACGCGTGCTGCGAATTGGAGTAAATTTTCCTCCCATCTGTAAGGGAAAGTTGAGGACTAGTCGAACGCTCTAGGCGTCCAGTGGCTGAGTCACGGCTAACGGGAACATAATTCTGAAATTTACTTGAAAAATTAGAAATAACGTCAGCATACCAAAATTAAGACAGTTTTAAGTCCGGCAAAAGGCATTAAAAATTGCGTTGGCCAGTGTCCACGCTTCCAGTTGGTAAAAAACGGATTAAATCGACTAAAGGGAGAATCACTCAACCGTGTAATAACGTGAAAATGCTGTTGCAAAGCATGCAAGGATTACCAAGAGGCGATAAGACTCACGTTGAGATAAACACGTTTCATCAGACCCGTGGAGAGAATCAGGACATCGAAGGCATTTTTTAACACGCTCACCACTGAACAGGCCTCCGTCAGCGGGCCGCATTCCTGCAACGAAAGCAACAAGAACGATGAAAACAAGCGTCAGCGCTTTGTAAGGTTTTTCAGGCATCACCTCCACAACAAGAATAATAACCTCCGCCTTAACGTTAAAACGTGAAAAAGCTACAGCAATAAATTTGATGGCCTGATCGTATGCCGTACGAACTTCAAGTCTTTAGCCATCCATTACTCTTATAAAGGAATGAAGGTCAGTGTTCCTCGATTCATACTACACTGGATTGAGCGATTGCGATGCGAAAGGTAGTAAACTGAAGAAAATATCGCGAGTGAACAATATCCAAGGTTTCTTGAGCTGCAATATTTCCTAGCTTTAGAGAAGGAAGACATGGAGACCTACAAAGTAATGACCAGGTTGAAGCTTCTACACACCGGCGGTAGAGGAAAACCCTGATCAAAAGAATCAAATTCGTCCACTTTCGCCTGCAAATGTGGAAACTGTGAAGGCCGTATGGAAGTTCGGGCAATAAAACTATTGCCTGCGTAACGCCGAGCCACTGATAACGCTCTCGAAATTAAATGTAAGCAATTCAAATAGGCTAGTCTGAAGTGACAAAGATGATAGGTGAGTAAGTAGAAATAAACTGAACGGAAGGACGAGAAACTGGATGTCTTACCTTGACGAAGACGGTGAAAAAGACCTCGACAGACTCTTCGCTGGCCTTGCGACTGTCCAGCTTGCGGGCGTTGCAGTGGTCGGCGATGGCGGCCAGTTGGTCCGGCCGAGCCAGCACCTTTGAGGTGCATGTAGCGCGGTAGGCCTTTGCCACTTCAGGTGAATTGGCTACAAGGACAGAAAAGTACAAAAGGTCGTTGTGGTACTCAAACTATGATTCAAAGGAACTTATCCTCAATCCACATACATTGATTTGTGGGAGAACGGCAAAATTAAATGGTGCTGTTGAAAATGAGGCATATCCAAATTGGGATTTCAAGGCAAATGTCTTCAATGTAGTAAATCTACTCATATTAAAGCAAATTAGTAGAGTTCAGAACGAATTTAAACACAGATTAAGAGTGAATGACACGCTATTGACTAACATTCGGTTCCCTGGAAGAATCCGTTTTCTAAGGCAGTAATTTTAGGTGGGAATTCGGTATAACTATACATTTTATCGAAAACTTTTCCGCATGGAAAAACTGCGCTATGAAAACAATGATAGAAGAAAAATGATTATCAAATAGCGAACCGAGAAAATTACCTTTCGTTTACACGAATTGATTAAAGGTGGGTGTCAACAGTAGAGGTCTGATTGGAGATCGCGTCAAAGATCAAATTTTTTTATTGATGAAGCGTATTAAATTACCAAATCTACCCCTGCTAAAGGTTGACGTGACAGTTTTAAGTGTGGGTAAATGGCAAAGAAGGGGGTTTTTAGATTAAATGTTTGACATTAAACACATTTTCAAAAGTAAAAATTTATATTAATTATAGTTTTAGTGGAAAAAAGTTAAGCAAGACGAAATCCCACTTAATAATAGTCGTCATAAAACACATAGACAAGGTCGTTCATGACTCATGCAATAAAGTTGTTTTTGCTACTAAATAGATGAAGAATAGCGTGGGCAATTCAAGCAAAAAAGTAGTTTCAGTCCATTCATATTTACAAGTAAGCTCCCAAAAAAGTGGGAAGCTCAAATTAATTTAATGTAGTCCAATATATGCTGCATAAAGCCAATTCGACAACTCAAAATAACTCAAGGGTCCAACAGTATACACTATGCATGGGTGATAGTGCTCATTCTTTTACGTTGGATGGATCGTCCAGGCGCGTCCTTAATAAAATACACCGGACATATATGGGTCAACCAAATACATCAACCAAGTTACACCCACCTCAACTGTTCGTCATATTCAATTGCAAAGATAATTAAAGTATTTATGTGACGCTATAGCTCAAGGTGATTGCCTAGACATGCACTTTTAGAGGCGCAAAAAGGAGTTCAATAACCCACCCTTCTCTGAGGCTGCGGCAAGAATGAGAGCGAGTTGACGGTGGACGATGAGGTCAGCGTAGCGCCGGATGGGCGAAGTGAAGTGCGTATAGTGGGTCATATTGAGGGCGTAGTGGCTGGTGTAGAAAGAGGCAGAGCTTGCGGATTGATCGGGGACCGCGCCCAAACAGTAGTACTCAGCTAGGTTCATGCACCTTGTTAGGATGTTCAGCGTTGCCAACAGGCGCGCCTCCTCTGCTGTCTCGGCCTTCACAGCAGCAGTGGCGGTAGAGTCGCTTGGTTCCACTGCACAACCCATCATGGAGGCGCATAGCTCCGCCAGATTGTCCGAATGCTGCCAACTAGTGCCGCTGACACAGCCAGAGAGGCGGTTAAGTGAACTCTAAAAAGAATGCAATTTTATTTAGACCACCAATAGGAACCACTGCAGAAATGATAATTTTATGACAACCATATTCTTAGGTAGTCGAGGACACTGCTTTTCTTCAGAATGATATTAGGAAGCAACACAATTTAATTCCGCGTTAAGTAAAGGCAATGGTTACTGATTCCCATTAAATAGGAGATGTTGCAAGCTGGCAATAGAAATCAGGTCATCGGATGAAACTCAGTTAAAAAACTAATGTTTGAATTATTTCAGAGACAACAACAACAGTTCCACAGCTTCTGATAGCACACTACACAGGATTTTAGCCCCTTTCCCATCTCTTTCACTCTTGTGAAGTCACTACTAGTAGACAACCTAGGTTAATTCTCCCTCAAGTAGCAATAAGGAATTTAAAGAACTCGTAAAATTTCAATGCATTGAATTTTTAATGGCCACATTAAAGTTGACCAAAATTGAGCTAATCGATGGTCAGGAGGAAATGGAGGGCTAAAACTCACTTTGTAATACTTCGTTTAAGAAAAATGTGGTCTACAATAAAGCAACACCAAAACCAGTGGCTTTGCGGACTAACGATGGGAACTGATAGGATTTAAAGACTAAATTTCACCCCCCACCCCGTTTTACCTCGTGAAGGCAACCATGAAATATTACAGGAAACATTCCACTTTTAAGCAGCATGAAGACAAAATAACAGTAGGGAACCCTTGGGGTGATGTATGAGGTCTTTCGTTGAGCGGTCTTGTAAGAATACATAATGTACTTTCTCCCATACTTTTTTGTTTACACGCCTTTGAGATATGCCAAATATGTGGGTCTGAGTCTTAAGTGCTTGACCCTCGTCAAGAAATTCATGGCGAACAACTCCTCACACCATCCACCACATACTCAAACAGGGTCAGCATAGTCCTTCCAGGATGAGAATGGAATACATTCTCTTGTTTGAGGATAACCAACCACACTTTCGTTCGATTAACGAACGACGCAACGCAAAAGCACGATTGCACAAAGGCACGTAAGCCACTTCTCATCACAGACAGTCAGTCGACAAACAACATGACATGCGTGTTGCGTTTTTATAATCTACGTGAAAGAAGTGAAGGACAAACTGACATTCTCAAGCTTACTGCCACCCATTACCACATAGCATGAACATACCACTTGATCACCCTCCACAACTCTTCCTTCTCCACAGTTGATGCACTTCTCAACCGCTTTTTTTCCACCACTCGCAAAGTTAGGCGCCAATTAAAGCTGTTACGGACACGCTACTACCCTATTATTTTGGCCGTTGATGGCGCTCATCTGGCCAATAACAAAAGAAACACTTTCTGGTCAATCAGTTCTGCGCCTTCTCCAAGTGCTACGCACCAGATGTTAAACGAGGCTTCGGTAGCCACAGCTTTGGGACCGAGTTCGGCTCGACTCGTAGAGCAGAAGAGCTCGAGTCACCTCCATAATAACGAACATGAACTTGAGGAACCACATTTTTTTATCTTCAGGACGGCATATCGCAATAAAGGGCACCACTGTGTGTAAATAGTATGAAATTAACACGCAAAACGCAGGTAACACTGTTCAGAAAGCATCGTATTCGAAAATAGCCTTTATTTGAACGTAGATTATTATCGAGGATACGATTCCGTCTGCTAGAGAAGGTATAATTAAGAGGTTTAAAATCGGCTTTCAGACACAATTTGAACAAAAAGTATAAAAGTGGAACACACCCGAGTGGAAGGAATCGTATAAAATGGCTCAATTTGAGGTAAAGGCTATTAATGGATGCGTTGGTGAAATTCAACAGTAATACTTAGGATGCATTATTTTTAGTACTGTAACACATGGTAAAAAGTTTAATGAAAATAACTTCAAGGGTGAATTGTATAAAGTGGGCCGAGTAAAACTAGTGATTAATAGAGTGAAATCAAAAAGACCCTTCCAATCAAAAGTTATGGAATAAAAATCACCCTTTAAATGCTTCCAATTTGATAGCAGAATTTCCAGTGATTTTTCATCAAAACAGGATGAAGCTATGCTGCCACTTTTCAGCCCCAAATTTGTGGCTACATCTCCACCGGACAAAGGACGCATGCGACAATGAAAGGGGAACGGAATTCCCAGTTAGGTCTTCCTACCCATTAGATAATTAACCTTTTTTTGGTGCTCATCCTAAAAATGGTAACACAAGGAAAACTTACCTGAATAGCACCGGCAGAGGAAACATTGACATCCACTCCAATGATGCGTAAGAGGGAGCGCGCGTCCTTGCTTTGCTTCATAGTGGGAGGGGGATGACGGCGTAGGAAGGCTGTGCGGGGTAGACGGGATGCGAGAAGATCGGCCACCGCCTCGTTGGCCGCCAGCATCCACTCCTCTACTAGACGGTTCGCCGGCCGCACTATGAAGGGTGCCAAGCCAACTGGTAGACCTGTTGTTTCTGCCAGTGTGAATGTCGGCTTCACCTGGTTCAACTGCAGTGCTCCGTCCTCGAAGCGACGCGTCCGCATCTTCAGCGCCAACTTTAGCACAAAAAAAAACATTAAAATCCAAACAGTTAATCATTTCCCAAGAACAATTAGCTCAAGCAGGATTGAATAAAAACAAAACCCCGTTACATAAGGATGAAGTTTAATTTAATGCGACTTAAAATACTGAAGTATACATGAGTAAAGTAGCATTGACGGTTCAGCCAATAAGTCTGGAAGGATGGATTCACGATAAACAATTCCCTATTGCCGATGAAGGAGAATTAAGAGCTTTTACTTTAAAAGTGATGAATGAAGTGAGGGGGAAATTTTTTAAATTAGGCCCACATCTGTCGTTTGAGCAATACCGCTGCTTGTGTGTGCTGTGCTATGAACCATATCTGTTATCCAGGCTGATCTCATCCACCCAAACTTTGACTATTTTCCCTGTCACTTTATTTAGCTGTTACTAAAGAAGTCAATTTAATGGAATGATTGGGACGCATGAAGCCGTATTGGTGAAGGCTATCGACTAGAGGCCGGGTCACTAGGACCAAATGTGTTTTTATGCACGGTCTCACTTGGAACGCATTTCAGTATTGCTTGATCATTGTGATGAAAGCGTATCCAAAAATTGTGGGAAGTGATGCAACATGGTTCACCACGCGTCCAAAACATGATGAGGTGGCTCGCCAATATTTCTGGCCGGTAAAGAACGAAAACAAGACTTAGAATTATCTCTCCCTTGATACTCACTTACTTAGTTAACGACACGAAATCAATTCAGTTACATTCTTGATAAGTTTTACTGACTTCCTCCAAGAAGCTCAAATATTGCACTATAGTAGCCTCATGAAGCTCTGCCGCAGTTAATTTGCGCCCATTTTGAAAAGTGTACATCAGCTGCCATCAAGAGGACTTTCTTAACTGAAAGCCCATGCCCGCCACATTCAAATTAGTTCTTAGAGCGAAATAGTCAAAAGTTTGCGGTTCAAAAACGTACCTCCGTCATGGTTTTGAATTGAATAAGATGCCTTAATTCTATAACAAAATTCTCATTTAAAACAAAAGGTAACACATATTTTTGACACCTGTCGGTTTAGAAAGACGGGTGAGAGAATGACAAAAAAATAAGAAAGCACGTTTTGAACGGTGAAAGTGTTGTGACCTTACCATAAACAGGAGAATTGAGAGGTTAGGGGCAATGGAACTTGGGTACCTCACACTTAGAACCATAATGCTATGAACAGCTAGTAAATATGAGGACAATGTTGAGAGCATTTGGCTGGCTGAAATGTATCAAGTAGTGGACACTCCGCAAGGAGTGGTCTTTAATAGCCAAGCAAGGGCACAAATCTAAACAAAATGAGCTACGATTAAAAGCATTCATTGCACTCACTCTCCTATATCTCCATAATGATCGTCAAGAGTAACTCAGTCTACGCTATTCTACAGAATAGGTGAACATTGCGACACTGGGTGAATTCGCAAAGCATGATTCCGGATGCAGATGAAAGGAAATCGGAACACACCTCGTTGAGGATAAGAACACTGCGACAAATCTCCTTGACATCTGCACCGCCTTCGAGGTTTGCAAGATCACAAGGCTGCCAATCACGGTCGGGGTCGTCTAGAAAGGCCTAAAGGGAAGGTACCAAAGTTTACCGCACTATCAATCACCCCATTCCAAAAAGTGATGCCTTGACTAAATACCTGTGCATCCTCGTAGCTAAGCTTAGCTCGTGAGTGAATGATCGTCCTTCCAAACCACTTGGCCAATATCTACAAAGGAACGGTGGATGAAATTGTAGAGTAATGAAAACATAGACAAGGCTTGGACACGAGCGGCGAGAAGTACATTCGGCATCAAAATCGACCCAGGTTCGCGAAAACCGTAAATTAATAGTTACCTTAAGAATAATTTTTTCTTACTAAAAACGTATACAATAGTTTAAAAGGTACCGACTGTGCTAGGTAGTGCAGCACGTTAACCTTATAAAAGTCATTTATGGTATGATGAACGGGTCAAAAGTCTACCACCACCGTTATACCTCTTTAAGTGGCAGCAAAGTACTTAACTATCCCTCATCTCACATCATTATTTTTCCGCACTTTTGACTGCTTCGTAACCAAACAGTCCTCATACAAATGCTACATTTGGAAGTACAGACTACAGTATCTGTGCAAACTCGTTCTCCGTAGTGAGGCACCATCTAGGTATAACGAAATCCTGTCTATGCTTTCAGTCATCCACTCCATCTAAAGTGGCCATAATGAGCCTTCTTCCATAGCCGCGAGGTTTAGTATCTTTCCGGGAATGATTCGGGGATCAATGGCCTGTCATACGATAATAGAAAGAAAACTTGACTTCGATATTGAACGCAATGATTCTCGAGTGCAAGACACATCGAAAACATACTCGAGCGTCTTCGGTGAGTAAAAAGACAACAGAGAAGGTGAATTTGTCATCTCCGGGATGGAGACTGCAGAGGTCCTCACACAGCCTCCGTGGAAGCATCGGAACACAGAGTTGAACGAGATAGATGGATGTGGACCGTGACGCCGCCTCCACATCCACGGGGTCCTCGGGACGCACATAAAAGCTCACATCGGCGATGTGCACGCCCACCTCAAAGGTGGCGCCACGCACCCCCTTCGCCTCCAGCGTCGCCACCTCAGAGGGCGGAAGGCGACGCACGTGCAGTGCATCGTCCAGATCACGGGCAGTCCGCGGATCGATGGTGAAAACGCACTGGCTGCGGAAGTCGCGTCGGCGCGCGTACTCTGCGGCCAAGTCGGCAGGGGAGGAGAGAGTCAGTACCTTCTCTGACACGTAAGTCTCCACGGCTACGGGAAAACTGGTAACCATCTCCACGCCCAAGGCAAAGCCGGCGTTCACTAGAATACGATCTGTCTCAGCATCGATGTAACTCATCGTCTCCTCATCAAAACGACGGATCAGTCGGCTAGAAGGCAGTGGCAAGAAATCAAGAGCATTTTTATCACACGTACAATCAAAAGACCAGGACAAATTTTATTTAGGTTCCTAGATAACTCGTCTCCTTGTCCAAATGTCAATTAAACTGGCTTTTAACCGGTAGGTGATAGGTGTGAGTTTACTTGCAATACTAATTGCAAAACGTCACATTTAAGGACTGAATTAACAACACAAGGAAGATTAATTTTCGCCCGTTGCAACCCGTGACCACAACTTCGAACCAGCTCCCTATGCGATGATGATTAAAATCATTCAGTGATAAGATGAACCTACAGTAAAAGAAATGCCTTAAATGAGACAACATTAAAATTGGGAGTATTCTATTACTGCTCAAATAAGTATTTCACGGAAAAAAATGTTTTAATGCTGTACAATTAAGTGATAGCCCAGGCTGCCAAGTTATGACCTCCATGCTAGTGAATGCTAGGACGTAGAACTTACAACTTAAAATCATCTTACTGCAAGATACACCCGGAGCAGTTTACCTGCATGAATTAGCATTCTTTGACCACTTTATGCAGACACTTGGGGCCAGCAGGGCATTTAAGTTGATCAGCTAGTCGTCGCATGAAAAATGATAGTCGTCAGCCCTACTTCCCAATGGAATGCTCACCCCTTGGCATAGAGACTGTCCTCCGGCCAATCAGTGATTTGGGCCACAAATCGCACCATTTTAAAAGTTTCTGGCTGTCTAACAAAATCTACAAGGTGAAAAAGGAAAACAATTAGTTTCAATTATCCGCTGTTACTCTCCAAGTCACTTTATGCACGTTCATTTCAAAGGAAAATGTATTAATTTGACCAAATTGAATAAAAATTTGACACTGCATCCAAAAAAAGAAACATCTATGGCAAAGGAGTACTGAATTCCATCTACAAGTAATGGATTTGGCTGACAAAGAACACTTGATAGCATACGCTCTGGAAAGGGCTAAATACCCACCGACAGATAAGCACAAGAGGAAAGCACTTCAATATGTATTTCAATAAATTCCAAGTTAGCTTCATGTGAAGTAAATTGCTCTCAACCATGACCGGGCGTACTTATTATTCGTTCGCAGATGCTCATCACACAGCGGCCTCTAAACATTTTCCGAGTTCGCAGTGCCTAGTAAATGCAGTCACCTATTTTTTTAACGCACAACTATCAAATAGAAATTGTCTTACATATCTGGCTACTTTTGGGTCCACAATGACACAGTTGTTGGCTTAGCAAGTAGAAATACACTAGTTCTTTAGCTGAAAGGTTTTATTATAATTACGAAGATGCATAATTTCTAAAACATAAATCATGGTTTCTGATATCCATTCAAAAAGTTGAGGCGAGTGTGTTGTCTTGGATAATCTCAACTACCTCCTTCCGCTTGGAACGTTGGTTGGGTAAGCTAAGAAAAATGAAAAAGATTCGATCGTGCACAAAAAGGCAAATGATATCTGCTTGTAAATCTTCATGTTTAATAGTTTGATAATCAACCGAGATAATCAAACTCAAATTGACCTGGGGGGCAGAAAGATCTAGGAATCAAAATTCTGCACATTCTCGAATCCGTAGGGGTGAGGAGTGCTAGTTGCCAATCCGGCATTGATGAGGAATTCACTTCCTCCTCCCTTTCCCGCTTGGTCTCCCTCTGCTTTCGTGAAGAAGAGGAAGATGGGAGAGGTCGCAGGTAGCCTACACAGATGCGGCAATTGAGACGACGATGGATAGCGACCACACGGCCGACACGCTGAATCAGCTGCCACCATGGTAGTCGTGCGGCCTCGGAGAGACTGGCCGATGGCTCGTCCGGTAGATTCGTGGGATCCGTCCAACTCTCAAGGTGATTTTTCAACCCATGGGGAATATTCGCAAACAGCTGCACACGCAAAAGAGAAAGTAGATTTGAAAAAGACTTTGGGTGATTTTTAGCTTTCAACAATTCCCACCGCAGCAAAACATTCAGGGTCCTGACGAAGGAACTCGCCGACAGTAACGAAGGCCGCTTTGCCAGCATCTAAGTTTGCCTGAGTGGTAGAAGCCCATTCTAATGCCTTTGTGCTGAGAAATGGGTCAAAGATCTGAAAGTAGACATAAAACTATGTGTAGATGCTAACCCTCCAGTTCTTAACTGGTTCCAGGCGCAAAACCACCATATCGCCGTTTAAGGAGCGATTGCGGGCTCTCGTGCCAGGTATGAAGACATCAGCATCGCCTTTCTAACATGGAGCAATTTCAAGATATTTAAATTGATAGAGAAAATCTACCGGGTGGTTGATGTAGGCATCAACATAGTTTTTCGGATTGATTCGGAGTTGCCCCTAAGCAAAAATGAAAACAGGAATTTGAGAAACGGATTGAAATATTGTTGATTTTGGGGTGAAGAAGTACCCACTATTATCAATTGACCCGACTGAATACCATCCGCAACCGCTACATCATCCCAATATGGGTCGTACTTCTGCTTCCCGCTCTGATTTCGAGGTAATTCAGAGTTGCGTTTCCGCCAATTGCCAAATCTGTCGTGATCAGAATTTTGACTTGAATTTGTATGCGCGGGTTTGGTCATTATCTGCAGAAAACAAGTTATCTCTTCGCTAAAATGTTTGGGACGGTCCACATGCTATGGACAACAAATTTGGTATTTGACAAGTCCGTGCAAACAATAAAGATACAACTAAGAACGCGGGTACAATACTATGTGAAACCATCTGGGTGAGAAACGGAAAACCTGGAGATTTATCGAAAAGTTGACTTTTAATGTCATGGAAACAAAAACTAGAACTATAACAAAAACACGACGCACGTTTTAACCCATGCTGGTGTATATTTAGAGTGTAATTAACATAAACAACGGAATTTTGCACAAAATACTAAATGGGTGCTTACCAGCTTGGAGTTTTGTAACCACTAAAGTCAACATCAATAATAAAACCAGCGTAAAAAGTCTCGCGCAACAGATGTCCGGATATACTGCACAAAAACGTGGGTAAACAGAGCTATGTCATCTACGCAGTCACGCTTTCACCTGCGACAATGTACCTCAGGATTAGTTCTAATAATACCGTGTTGGCGATTGGGCGGAATTGGTTTGGATGGCAATAGCAACCTTTCATGAATGCAAAGTTCGTAATGGTATAGCTTAATGTTCCGGAGATGGACATGGTGGATATGTAATGCCTTTCGCTTCAACACTACGACCTTTGTCTTAAAAAAATCTGGAAATAAACTTGATATAAGTAGAGGTAAGTACATAGGTGCAACACCAAAAGCAATAATAATTTTCACTTAAGTAAGGCTCTAGATAAGCAAAATTTCCCTTATGTGTTACGGGAAAATGTGGCCCATGTCTGCAAAATTTTGGCAAGAAATGCAAACTTAAACCAGGTAACTGCTGTGACTTCCAGCACTCAAACCTTCCGTAATTTAGAGGAACCATGAAGGCGTCATGGTTATCAGTGTTCGAGGCGCAATCGCACCACATGTTTGTTTGATTGTACCCTCTGGGTGTCCGACGGCGGGCTGCCCCCAAACCCTCTGAGGAAATTGAACTCTGTTTCCCTTCAGATCCTGATAATCTGCAAATTTTCACCGTTCTTTTGAAGTGCATAATTTTTTCCTTTACTCTATCCTCGCGTTTTGAGACTATTAAACCTGTAAAGGAGGTGTTCTGTTGAACCAACCAGATGCGGATTCTCTAACAGTCCTGCGTCCGTTTTAGTTCTAAAATTTTATCCACATCTCAAACCGTCCTGTTAAATTACACCGAGCTTTCCCATTGTTAGCCAAGGTAATCACTTGACGCCTAACCCCTTACAAACTTTGTATTCTTAACCATCCGACTGCAATATTAGTGATAATACTAATTCTATTGAAGATAACAACAGAACTAGTGATAATAGCATCATAAGGAAAGTTTTACAAATATTTATAATAATAATGCCCCTAAAAGCCTGGGGTTGATTATTTCGCCTTCAAGGTCTCCTATGGATCCAATATTCGAACCCATTTTCGATTTCAGTGAAAACATGGCGGGTTATCCGTGTTAGTTACTGGGCTTGCTTAGTAATTTCATTTTTTTAGTTAGTTTTTCGAAACCTCAGACTTATTGGGATGAAGCGTTTCGTCGGGAGCCCGTAAGTTTTATCCTCCACGTGAAATCGTTGTGTTTCTAAGGCGTATGATGCGTCTAGGATATTCCAGGACATCTTCGGGGATCAATTCCCTTTTCCTCGTGATTCATTCCCAAACAACTTTCCCAGACCGTTTTGGATGACACCAGGTTATGTTGCTCCAGTAAGGGCTAACAACAGTTACCATGTTTTACAAAAACTCGTCATTAGTTGATCTTGTTGCTCTCTATTTGAAGGCGTATCCAAGAAGGGACTATATTTTGGACCAAGAACCCGGACCATCCTCTTCTTCAGGCTCGTTCTACTCATCTACATATTCCTCCGATTCAAATGGGCAACGTGTAAGCCTCTTGTACGCCATTCTCTTGCTTTCCTATCACTTGTATGAGGAGTAAGTAGACTCCGACTCGTGTTTTATGACCTTCAAAGTTGTCCTTGTACTTACTGTCCCATGCAATTCCTTCATCCTCTTTTCGCCGGCTCACCTACTGCATCGGTTTTGGCATATAATGTGATTATGTGCTCTCCCCTAGTACGAGTCGATTAAAGCCTCTGTCAAGCAGCCAGATGGAGTGGTAATCAATAAGGAGATAATAAGAAAAGACGGACGAGAAGTAACTACTACAACCACAATCTATCCCGACGGTCGTCAGGAATCGAGAACCGAGACTAGTGAAGGCGGTAAGCCCGACCACGCCACCACAAACACGTGTTCACACTATCTGTTTCAATGAGTAAATTTTTGTTTTCTCAAAGCAGTGATAACTGACTCCCCTCTCGTCCTCATGCCTTCCCCCGAGGATATCTTCAAGAGGGACGGGATCTTCTCAAACCTCCGTCGCTGGTTCGGATTCTAAGACTGCATAATCAGGATTTTTCCGCCCCATTTAACTCAAATAGATGCATCCCCAAAGTGTCTTGTATTTACAGTCGTACTATGACAGTTGATGTAAAGTGTCATTTCTGGAGCGGGGCGTAGTTAAGCAATTTTTCAATGAGGTCGACGTGGGAGAGGATCATGCGCCGACAGCAGTAGCGTCGGAGGCCGAGGGTATCCAGGGCGTCACCTTCCGCGTACTCTGCCTGTAGGAGAACGATGTAGGACTCCCACTTGTCGCCCACAACTTTGCCACATGTAAAACAGCGGATTGGAATTATCATGTATCTGAAACCAGAACAAAAATCAGCTTGGTTATGGCATCATGTGTTGAAACGGGGCACGAAGGGGTCAAAATCAGCGTGCCAATTCGCAGCATTGCAGTGCACCGACGACACTCATAAGCCGAATCTTGCTAGGAGCGGCGAGTTAACCTTGTCAGAGGCACTGAAGGCGCATTCATGGAGTTGGCGTTGGCTCCGTTACACAAAAGCGAGCACTGAGGCATAGCAAGCGAAAAAGAAGGGGTGGCGAGCGTAGGATGTATTTTAAAATAAGACAGCAAATATTTTGCGAGCTGGGGCAGGGCCGGATTTCTTTCTGTAAACCTTCGAGGGCCGGCTTAAAAGTTGTCACCAGAAATTAAACTTTTAACTAGAAGGCTCCAGTGGGGTTGGTTCTGAAGAACTGCCTAGGATCGTCTTATCTGGACTGAGATGGCGTGATTGTGATGCCCAATGGGTACACGGTCACTTTGTTGAAGGGCCGCAGCCTCTGCAAATGAGGGCGGATCGCGATTCTGCCTCGTAGTGTAGCCTGTCGAGGCCGGGGTAACTAGGGCAAGCGAATAGAGGAAGTCATAGGAATCAATTATGCTGGAAAAGCTTGTTGTCAGATAAAAACAAAAATCGACGAACTAGCGGCCGAAGCCGACTTAACTTTTGCATGCAAATAGCTGGACAAAATCGGTTCTTTGAGCAAAACGTCGGATTAGCAATTATGAATGAAATAGTAGGTTGGAAATGTAGTCTTTTCAAAGATATTTGTGAGATTTTGTATTTGCAAGCGAATGAAAGAGGATATGACTTTAAAAGGACGCCAGACTTACCGGAACGGACACGGAAGTTCCGAGAAAGATGGACTAGTGAGGACAAAAGCTGCACCAATCTCGCAACCATACTATCCTCAAGAACAAACCCGAATTCATGGAAAATTACCAAGTACTCGTAGCATGCGAGAAACAAGAGCAGAAGTACGCATTTAACAACCAAGATAAGCGCACCAATAACCGCCACAGTGTAAGGAATCCATACCTTTTAAAATTTTGGGCACACTAATTAATTCCCATATCGCATATAAAGTGAGTGGGCATGGAAATGAAAAATAAGGATCCAGCAAATAGATAACTACCTCAATTAGGAAGCAAACATACTTCAGTATTCAAGCACAAAATGAGGTCTGAAAGATTCCAGAAATAAATAACCACGGCAGCCAGTGTAAAAGCAAAGTCGATCAGCTAAAGTAAAGTCTTTTGATCACTCAGTTACTTGAAGGAAAACGTAAGGCAGCATGAAGAAAGCGGATCGTGTGAGAATGGCAATCATCAGGATCAATGTTACAGCAAACACGGTAAGCACTGTCCCCAGATTGACATTGAAACAGCCCTGGCAGCTAAATAAGTGAAGAAGGGAAGGATCGAGCCTCGACAATTTTTCGGCGGTTCCTGACTAAATAGATGGGTTATTGATTTTTACCGTAGGGGATGGTGTAGGCATTCTCTGAGTGAAACGCGTGGGAGCCATTAAACCCAGACACAAAGACCTGTGGTCGATAGGTATCAGAAGCAAGTTGCTCCCACTGCACAAACGTAATAAAGCTCAAATAATTATTCAGAGATGACCGCCATGTTCTATGTGAGTACGAACCGTGATTTAAGTAAATAATGACGGAGGCCAAATGCGCCAGCAACTCAAGGGCAGTCAAAAGGAAAGTGCCCGTCATTACATGTAAGCACCCAAACCACACATATCGCCTAAGCAAACCCTCGATAGAAAGCATGGAAGAAACAGCCTTAAACTAACGTGAAACCCGCCTCGATAAATGCGTGGGACTAAACTAACCGCAGCTTATCAAAAGTTTTTTTCTCCTAGGACCCTTCTAAGGAACAAATTTGCTTTCAAACACAAATTCTAAATTGTAAAGAGCCTTATGAACATTTGTTATAGCAAAATGCAAATATAAAACATTAATCACAACGAATAGATGTTTTGAAGTCTTGTAATTATTTATCGTTTTTATACAACGAAACAAGCCTTCGGTACTACATGAACGAAAAGAAAAAGTATATACGACGGGATTAAGATGCTTCACTCTTTGCCGCTTGACATTTCCCACAATTGTGATTGTTTTCTAAACTGAAATGACATCTTTTTGGCCTTAAAAATGCGTTTTGTGAATTTTAGAACCCCTACCCTGTGTTTTGAAAGGGAATACTAGTATATTTAATAATCTTATATGTTGGTGGCAGTTTTTTGCACTCCTTAAGTGCTTTGATTTGCAAAAGAAGAAACTCGTTTTACTCACTTTGGTTTAAGTGTATCACTGGAGTCCTGCACTTTTTGTATGTTGCTGTGTACGGATTTGTTCGGTTAGTCGTTATTCCTAGACCGCGAGTGCAGAATGCAGCGATTTTGGAAGAAAAGTTTGGCAGCTTCTTCGTGTGCATCATCTAGTATATCATATTATTATTGCTCTTTTTGTTCTGATGAGTGCTGTCTCTGCTGCTAAGTAGGTACTAATAGTGTGCTATTTAATTCCTTTATTTGTTTTACTCATAATTATTCGCACTTATCACCGTCGCTCCCAATATTACCTAATGTGTAACTCTTTTCAGTGCGACTTTATTCCTTTTATATCCCTTAGGTGACCCGTTGTTTTCGATGGTGTGTCCTCTGCTGCTTCTCTTTGTTTTTAAGCTATTACATCCTCCACTTACCTTGCCTGCTATCATTATTCTAGTTGACTTCATATTGAATAAGAGGCCACCTATTCCAACTATGATTGCCTGTTAAAACTGCCGAATAAGCTTGTACACTTATTGTTTTTATAATATTCTACCAATTTTGGTCCGTTGGATTTGAAGGCCTTTTGCTTTTTTACAGAAGGTCTGAGTGCATGCCAATAAAGTGGGAATGCTGGACTCCAATCCGAAATTCCCCAAAATTAGCCTAAAGGTAAGACGTTCTTCGGCCTCACTCTTATCACACCTCAGCGCGAGACTTGGGATGCATTGACCAGCAAGGATCTCCTCACCACTCACCTTGACTATTATTCCTCCTTCACCTTCTCCAAATTTATCGAATCTCTCAACCTCCCTGCCATTGCTGCTCCCTCCTCCAACGGCTGCCCAGATGATCTGGATGTGCTGGACTTGGACGAGGAACTGACCAGAGCCCTCGATCACCACTCTATCATCACCTCTCAGCTGCCTGACGATCACATCCAAACGGCGGACGAGATAATTGAGGAGATCGACCGATTGATGGTCGGTGAGGCGGTAGAGCTGGATCTGGAGCTCTGCGATCCCCAAGCGAATGCTGAGTTCCGTGCCACTTACGTCTGGAAGCCATTGTCAGGTTTGCTATCAATTTTACCTCTCTTGTGAAACTGTACATGGATGACAGTAAAAATCGTCCCTTCTATCCCGCAGCTCTAGCAAGTTTCTTTGGTATTTGAAACTGTTAATTCCATTTCCTAGTTCATTATAGAAGTTGTAATGGTTCAACGTTTGTTTCGGAATCAGTTTCAGAGTTCTTTTTTTAATAAATCGGGAGTTTTAAGGTACCTTCTTTCCTTAATACTCCTGTGTATTCCTATGATAAGAACTTGTGGTCTTGGTCCCCAGTTCGTCGGACGAACTAATGAAGGAGCTAGTTTTGTCTGGTATATCGCATTAACTTGAAGCATTCGATGCTCTTTGTTCATTTACCGTCTCTCTTCTCATTAAAGTGTCATTTAAATTTCCATGATATTTGAAACGCTTATCCCAACTCATACCTTGTTCAACAAATTGTTAGAAAACTCAGTTTGCTTTTGAAAGTCAATTCAACTCAATATACTCTTCGAAATTTAGTATTGGAGCAGATGTCCATCGCTCAACTGAACGCTTTGGTTGATGAGTTAGATATCTGCATTCGGCACTACTCGGCGTGCCTCGTGCAGGAGCTGGCTTTCCGTGAGGAGTTGGAGTACGAGCAGGAGGTGAAGGATATCTTTTTCACGCGCCTCCACGAGGTACAGAATCGCATGGACGAGTGGGCCATTTGCAATGCTGCGGCGGTTGTGGGGAATGGCGGCGGCGATATGGTCCATGGTGCAGACCACGATAAGCATGACGATGCTGAGAATCAGATGGAGGAAAGGAGTCGTGGGTTGTTTGGAGGTACGACTCCCTAGCAAATTTGTTTAAAAATGATGTTTATCGCGTTTGTTATAGTTAACTTAGCTGTTAAATGTCGTTTAATGGTAGTGGGAGGATTGATCAGTTGTGGTCATTCATTTTGGCGTCACTGATTACTTTGTCTGGAGTTACTTTTGTAGTTTTCAAGTGTCTTTTGCATTGCCTTTGAGCCTTCTTTTTAGTCTATATCGAATTGTTTTTTTTTTCTTAAATTTAATTCACCATGATCACATTAGCAGTCTCAACTGTTCTTTCGTGAAATGGACTAATTTTAGGCAAATTAACGTTTTTAAATGTGGGAAGGGTACTTTAATTGCTTGAAGTGTATCAGCTTACAGTGCCTGTGTTAGCGGTTTAGCTTTGTCATATCGTTTGAGGGTCGCCTTATGAATAAATGGTTGCATTTTATCCGGGCTCACTTGAATAGTTTACCGGCATTCGACCTATGTGCTTTTCGAAGGCTAGCACTTCTGTCGCGAATTGCTTATAAAAAGTCCCCCGAACGCCTAAATCTTGGCACTTTTCTGCTATAACAATACATGAAGCATACCATCGTTGACAGGCGAAACGATTAGTTATGGGTACTTATTTTTTTCCTAACAGCTGGCACTTTTGTCTTGTGCCACCTCTCAAATCCCTTTATAACGTCAAAATCTGAGTAAGTTTCTGCTAAGAAATAAGTGACCTTGCAGCCGCATGAATCGCACCCTTCGCTCGGTTGTACAAACATGAGTTATTTGAGACTTTCGTTTAGAAACTGAAAGTGAAGTGAAACCTGACTAATGGTAGCTTTATCACTACTGGAAACACAGAATTGTATTTCTTATCAACTTCCACATTTCTATGCTGGTTCTCCACTCGTTCAACTTGCTGAACGAAACTTTTGCTGCTTTTCTTAATCATTGGCAAATAATCCACTTAGATGTCAATTCGTCTTAACTTTATCCGAAATTAGGTGTAAAACCCTATCATCCCTTCGCAAAGCATATTTCCTATCCATCACTAAAACTACTTCTGTTTTTCGATCGTTCACAGCTTATTCAGCTAAAATAACCGAGATGAAGATTATTCGTGAGGTCAGAACTGCTTCTAGTGTTTTTTTGTCATTAGTTCAGTGATGTGACTTTCATTCTGTAGAGAGATTGGTAAATTGAGACTGTTTATTTCGGCTTTGTCAATCACTGTCAGAATTTACATTATCACTTCGCTTTGTCTCTCACGGCATCGCCATAAATTTACGCCATAAAATCTTTGCATTACAATCCCGACTCCTATCAAGCCCCACAGTGTCTTGAGAGATTTTTCGATCACAGCTTTTGTCGGAGCATCGTGTCTTTAATTTCATTCAAGATGCGGCAATTACCAGACTTTAATGAATTCAGTTATCATCTCCCCTATATGGTCTGCATGGACATAAGACTAGGGTTACATCTGTTATTCTGCGTATTTCTCTACCACTTTCGCACTTATCCAAGCTGTTTAAATGAACTCCAGCAGATTGCCTATTCCTTTTTTAATTTGCCATTTCGAGACTTGTCATTAGTGAATTTCTCAAAGTGTGATCTAAATGGCATCGGGAACGAGACGCAAAATCCTCTTTTTCTCTTATCCTACCCTCAAATGCTATGCTTGGTTCCTCCTTCATGCAGCTAATTGATGTAGGGGTTAATTGGAGTTTGAGGGTCGTATTCACTCAAAATCTTCCAATTTGGCTTTCTCCAAAAGCGCCTTTTAGCTCTAGACACACCAGGGGCCGTGAAATCCATTCCTTCCCTTCCCGTTCAGGTGGCAGTTTAGTTAACTCATTTCCCGTGACATTTTAAACTGCTAGTCTCAAGCCTTAGTTCTCTTGATAAATCGGCGAAGGAAAGTTTGATTCTAGAACTTGAGGCAACTCGCATCTGCCGTAAGCGTATCAAAGGTGACAAGGTCTGTCTTTGTTCTGTTGAGATAGACTTACTACAAAATTTGAAATCGCTGGCTCATCTAATCACTTGACAAAAAACTAATTGAATTTTAGGGGTTGCATGAACTTAGAATCTCCAAGTAGACTGTTTTTAAGTGCTTTTGTCTGTTTTAAATATCTCAAGGGTAATAAGACTTACCTTCTCTCCTGTCCTCCCTTTGTTCAGGCGCTAGTTCAGCCGCAACGGCAAAAGTGATTCTTGCCAACGCCGCGTTTGCAGTCCGTCGCCGATGGCGTCGCATGGGTCGCAGTCTGGAAAAGGCTCGATCTACATGGCATCACCGCGGTCGTCGACACCGATACCTCACCGATGACAGCAGTGACGGTGAAGATCACTACCACCGCCGCCTTCGCGTCCGCACGCAGCCCATTGATTCACGTGACATCGCCGTGGAGGCGACATCTGGTGGTGGAGGTAAAATGTGCGTCTCAAACTCTAACCTTGAGTTGGCTCCCGATGGTGAGGCGGGAGCAGTGGACGAAGATGATGATGAGGAGTGGTCGGTGCGCAGCGAGACGAACTCCACCGCCACCACGCCCACTACCGGTGCTCCGACCAACAGCGCTTCGTCTGTGGGCCATTCGCCTCGTCACCGTCAGATTTGGTTCACGTCTACTACCTCTACTGCTAGGGGCAAAAGAAACTTTCAGGAGGACTTGAAGGTGAGATATTTCGGCTACAGTTCTACAATAGGAGGAAACGTCTTAGTATTGGAAATAAAATGATCAATCCATAGGCGTAAAGTCGGCGTTTTTGCTGAGAAGGTACTTGCGATTCCAGATCCTCTCCTGCCTTAGTGTACTTATCTTAGTGCTTTTGCTTTGAATTAATGGCCCTTACATTTCATGGAGCACGATTATCCTGTGTTGCAGCGCTAGTTTTGGCGTCTCGATTATGAGGAGTTTGTTAGAGAAGTTGGGAGTATCGACTTAGTTTTTACGATCTTAGTAATGAAAAGTGATAACCCAAGGATTAGCCCTCCCACAGCGTATAAGCTCTATCATGTTTTCTCCCACATTTTTAAAGGTTATGTGAATTATCCAAGCAAGCATCATGCAGTATTAATCTAGATGTCATTTCCTGTATTTCTTACGTAGGATGCTTTGTCTTTTCTACTTTTCTGGCATCCTTAGTCGTCGCATTAGTTCTATTGGCCTGTATAATTGTGTTTGTCCTGCTTTGGCCTTCAGTTTCTGAGCACCAAGATTCCCTACCACCGGTCATCGGGCTACGGGGGTGCATGTACCGGGCCGGCGGTGGGTCATTTGGAGCTCTTCAACGAGTTCCTCTTCTGTATGCTCACCAATAATCCAAATCTTACGCCTCTCCTCACTGACTATATCCTCAATGGTACGTTTTCACCTAAATATCTTTTGTGTCATTAAGTTTAATGTCTACTATTCTGGAGTAGGTGCAGTATATTAAGCGCTTTCCTGGCGGAGAAGCACTTTAAATATTTTAGTAGTATTCAAACATGTTTGTATGCTGTATCCGCTCATCTCCATCCGATAATATCGATGGCTGATTAGTGGCTACCTTGTTTCTTCAGTGTTTTGTCCATTGGATTGCCTGAAATTGATTTAATATCGGTGCAATGAATAGTCAAGTAGTAGGGATACATCTTATCTGTTACTGGTGGCGCTGTTCTGCTACACTAGAAGTAGAGCTTATTTGTTACTTCCGTGGCAGGAGGTGATGAATATGTGGCAAATGGCCTTTTTACGCATTGTTGAGGTGAATGTGACTCCTCGTTCTTGTAAGAAGTGGGCAAACGCTCCGATCTGAGGGGTGTAATATTCTGTGGAGACTAAATCTATCGAGAGTGGATAAGTGGTGTTGATTGTGCTGTATTTGGTCGAGCGACTGCTGTTCTGACTTGTCACCACTGCCCAATGTTGGCGACTAATTGTTTGCATCCTTTTTCCTATGCTGCTTTTACACTGTTGTGGACATGACGATCAGAGCTTACAAAGCTGCTAGAGTTGATAATGTCACTTCAGACGTACTTTGTGCATCCAGTTTTGCTTTCTACCCGATTAGATTTCCATACAGAAGGTTTGCAGGCTTGTGCCTGAGCCATTATCAGAGGTGCTGAAGGACTCAGAATTCGAATAGGAGGAAGATGGTAACGAAATCACATATCTTTATGCTTAATTAAATGCTTTTTCTCGCAAGAAATTGTTAAGTGTTCTAGTCAAAATCTGCTGCCTGCAGTTTAGAGGTGATCAACTCCAATTTGATCAGTGTCACTTTCTGTACGCCTAATTTGGCTTTCTATTGGCTAAATTCGCACCTTCTTTATTCTTTGGTGTTTCCTTCAGTTGGCGCGTTTTAGTTCCCTGTGTCCTCTGTTAAGGGGCGGGTGTTTGGATCTCATGCAGTAGTCACTGTAGTTGATAGCGCTTTTGTATGTCCGAATTACTAATAGAGATGCAATGTGGCCGTCTTAATACTACGCTTATTTTTGTGCTAAATAGGTTTCGAAGGTTGACACGCAGGAGACGATGAAGTTGCGTAACTCTATACTCCGCACTTTTAGGCTTTATATAACTTAGGCGACGCCGCGAAACCGTTCATGCAATTTTTTGAGGTGGATCCATTCTCTTTCACAGCAGTTGCTTTCAGTTCGTTGTTGCCTTAGCTCATAACTCCTGCCTAGCTTGTTCTTTTTAGCAATTGAGTCATCTTTTTACTGATTCGTCACAATGTGCGTTCCCTAGTTGTCTTCTCGTTGACATTTGGAGCTCTTTGCAACGCTCTGGTTCTGCAACGGAGCTCGTTTTTAAATAAAGCATAGACGCTTTCGGAGGGTGTATTCGAGCACATTCCTTGTGCGTGTTGAAACGCGTTCTGGGAATGCGATGCGTCTTATCCATGGATGAATTTCAAGAACTTTGGTTTGGTTCACTCTGGTGGTGGTAAGAATTATCTGACATTGAAACGTCCCACTCAACGGCTATGTAGTGTGTGTTTCTCCTGCTTGCGTTACTGCAATCGAAACCCCAGTAACCTCATCCTGCTCCTTCAGATTCATGTCGACTTACTTATAACTGAAATTGTCCGTTTAATGCCTGATGAAAAGACGCAACCTACTAGTAAATGAAGTTTTCGAAACTATTATTTCTAATTTAGGCAACGGAGTAGCAAAGGTAAGATTAGTCCTATGATAAACGTCACGTTTTCTCACTTCTTACGGAATATGCTCCGCTTCTGGCCTGACTAGCTGTGTTGTGCACAATAACAACATCTCACAAACACATTGCGAACCCTCTTTCATTCCTCTGGGTTGTGCTCTTGCGCTTCTTTTACTCTTAACTCAAGTTTTTTGGTGGGATTTGTTTAAACACGAAATTCCCACAACGATCGTACCTTACCTAATCGCCTCCGCACAAACCTTGCTGGTGAATTTTGCCACCCAAGTAGATCAGTAGAGTAAGTGAATTTTTCCCTCCTCTTTTAGTGTACGCACCCAGTGAGAAGTCGATGCTGCCGAAGTTGGTCATTTGAGGGCCCCTCCGCCCCACTCCTGCACCGCATTTCGCCTGACGCTGACACCGACGCTGCCATAATATTCTTCAAAAGCGATGCATTTAATTTAACTTTTTTGATTTCTTGTTTCCCTTTTTTGTTTCACAGCAACCAGTTTCCTACTCACCTCCCTCTCTCGCCCCCTCTGCTTTCATGTCATCATGCATTGCCCTCCACACTGATCCAGTATACTACTTTAATTACAGCCTTGCATTCCCGTAACTTGCCATCTGGGCTGTTTGTAGGGTCGTGGGAGGGTATTGGATCATTAGAGCAAAGCAACTTGGTTTGGAACGTTTAAAAGCGCAATTTCAAAGGATGCATTAGCTCCCTCACTAAAGTGGACTTTGGACTACACCAATCAAGTGGCGCTAGTGTCGAGCTCTGATTTTCAGAATCACCATCGGCCCGGAATTGCTTTTTGTGAGTGAGGTGGTTTTGTTCTCCTCATCTTTTTTACATCAGCAGGAAAACTAGCGACACCACGATTTAAATGTAGGCTGTCCTTGGGCGTCCTTGCACTATGGTTATTCCAGATGGTTAGTGCTGAAGGAAAGGGTGGAGGGCAGTGCCATTTTGACGTCAGCACCTATCCTTCCATCGAAGGTGGTTAAAATGTGGTCGAACAGCACTGGTATTCGCTCAAGTTATTGAGGATGGTTGAGAACAGTCCTGACTACTACCATCATCGAATCATTGCAACACTTGAAGCGTCAGCTCTAGGCAGCTTCTCGTTCTCGGGCTACTGTTCCACCGGATAGAAATGTGGGGGATTCACAGGAACTTTGTAGTAACTCCATAGCATTGCAATTTACATGTGGATTGTGTTAGAGCGATTTTAGATCACTCGAATCTATCAAGCTCTATTCAGGATGCTTCCTGCATAATCGTCGTCTACACCGCAGAGGTTTCACAAACACGGTTGGAAGTCGCCTTATAAAGGTTGAGCAGCGGACACCACTCCCCAGCGTTCATTCGAACCGTCGACAGCTATCACGACCATCGAATGGGCAGCGAACCGGGCGCGATCTTCTTTCTTCCTTTAAGGGTATCCACTCAGAGCTATTTAGTTAAGGATTTTCTTGAAGCATTTCTAAAACTGCAGTGGCAGCTGCAGATTCTGGCCTATGGTTTTTCCAAAGGACTCAATCGAGGGGCGAATGATGAATATTATTGGGAATGAATTTATGGTTTTTTTGTCTTTGTAAACCGTTTTTAATGTTCTACCATTTTCTGAAGTTTACAGGTATGGCGTTGAAAAGATATGACATTTTCATTGCAAAATTGCCTACCTATAGTCATATCTCGTGTTATAAAAGTGCTCGCAGTTCTATTCATCTGTCCAGGCTTGAAGGCCTCAAAGCGGTTTTTCCAAAACGAACTTCGATAACCTTCCAAATATTTGCTAGTAAACGTTGACAGGAGCGGTGGGAAATCCGCATATTTAGTTCTAAACCTAGTCATCATCGGGAGGAGTCTCTAGTAAAACCACCTATTTGAATGCATGGAAGGATTTTTTGCGACTACTTTCATCTTAAGAAAAATAATAGCTGCGGAGCTGATTGTGCTGCTCTTGAGTTAACTCATTTTCTCAAGTCTTATCAATATTGCTTATCACGAGACGTTGTCGAGGGGAAGAAATACCGCTAAGCACCTTACTCGAGTTGGTCTCAAATATGGACCATATTCCATCATCATCCAACGGAAACACCATCTCTGGGTTCTGGGTCTTCGTGTTTTTATTCATAAAATTGACGGACTCACTGCGAGTCCCACGGAAATTCCAAGAAGTTTTTCTTCGAACAACGGATGTTGGAATTTGTGAAAACAGAGTAGGATTAAAGGAAGAATTCATAAATTTCTGAGCTATTACCCAGCAACCCTTGTGTAGAGCAGCCCAGCCGATAATCAGGAAAGTCTTTGATGTCAGCTTGGCTTTTAGTTTGAAAAATGGCGACACCTTGATGCCTACATTCAGGTTTCCCTCGGATACATTTGCTTGTACTCAAACAACACCACCAGTGGTTTCGGCTTTTATCACCGTCGCTGATTTACCGTAGCGATCTGAGCTCTCCTAACTGTAAATAAATTCCTGTTCTTTGGATCACCTTATTCTACTTTTGGTCCTCTAGCCAAGTCTCTGTCTATTCGACTGGGGGACTCCACCGACGATTCGTGTTATCTCACAACAAAGCGGTCAGGTGTGCAGTCTGTGTAGGGGTCGCACTCGAGCACTTGCATATCACAGGAGCGCCTCTTAATCCCGCCACATAGCCACTCTTTGATCCTCGTCTGTTTTAAATTAACCATAAAAATTGCTAGTGCTCAAAGAAGTGAACACTGTTGATAGGAGGGTACTGAAGCTTTGTTGGCCTCTATTGGGTCGGTTCCAAGGCTCATTTACCATCAAAAGCATGCTATTTTTACCTAGAAATTAGTGAAAATGGTCCCACCTTAATCAACTCCGTTAGAAGGCCAGGCCATGTTCCTTTTAGTTTTTTGCCAAGGATGTTGCATTTGCCCTCAGCGCTGCTCTCTGAACAGAAGTAGCAACAAGGCAGGGCGATTTTGCTTCTAGACTCGTTGTTACACACTTTTTCTCAGTCAAAACCCGCGTTACAGTGTAGAAGTTATTTATTTTCGCAAAAGATTTCGAAAAAAGTCTCTTACTCTCCTTTAAATTGAAGATTGGTGGTTATTGCATCAAATCAAAATTAACCCAAATTTTTTACAAGAGTTTACTGCTTAGCCGACGGTCTCTGCGGGGTTGTTTAGCCAGAGTGCCATCGCCTCTGATGTTGCCAATACATCCCCATAAAAAGCTACAACTTGTTTATCCCCCTCCCAAAAGGCTCTGGTTGCTCACTTCGTACACAGTCTGCTTTTTTTCTCGAAATTAGCATTACAATGAGAGAGAGTGGATGAATTATTTAACCTTTCTGGACATATCACCTGTCTTAGACATTTCTATTTTCAATATCAGCCACATGTCTGAACGGACTGCTGTGGCAGCTCGAGAGTTGCCCATGTTGTTTGGTGATGTGCCCAATCATACGAATAGCTGAATATAAGTTACCCCAGACCTTAAAAATCTCTCATACTTCTGGATAGGTCCTGCTTTAGTCTGTGATGCGTTCCTGCTTTATTTACTTTTTTGTCTTGGTTTTTGTGCTACTTAGCTTATTTAAGTAGCAAAAACTCTGCTTATATTCCTCTTATCCCTCTGGTAATTTTATGTTGAGAGTAATACTATAACTGGTTTTTACAGCATAAATAAAAATCGGACTTTTGATTTTGCTAGCTATCCATCATTTGAAATGTGAGATACTTACCGACGACCTCAGTCACTAAACATGATGCAGACCAAGTGTAGCAGAGATGGCCGAAAAGTTTGGTGTAAATGTGTCCACGTATTAACAGATATGGCGGTTGTTTGCAACTCTTTTGAGTGCGACAAGAAGTAGCGAACGACACCGTATATGTTCCGTCGCAGTGCGGATCACTCTTGAAGACATCACAAGCCATTCTATTCCGCAGTTATGTGGGATAATTTTGCTCGCTACATAGAGCTCTGTCACCAGTCTCGCAGTCTTATGAACGTTGCATAACGTCTTCAGCGATAAATCACCTAGCACTAGAAATTTGGTAGCCTTTAGCAGACTTATTTAAATACAGCACAAAATTCCAATCTTGGTAGACTGAAAGATTTCATGATTTAGCCACTAAACTATGTTAATCCATCCGCTTCTGAAAATGTCTCGAGTACATGAGTGACTTTACAGAGGGCTAGAGAGGCAGAAACACAGATGATACAATCAGGATCCTCTAAAACACGAAACTACTGACCTTAATGGGCTATACTGAGAGCCCTCTAAGTAGTACGTATAAGTTACGGGAAGCAATTGACTTAGGGATCGCACCAATGCCTCCAAAGCCCTGGAGACAGGGCACTTGGCAGTGTGCCAAAAGGGACTGCGCATTCCGGAAGAGTAATGGCAAAGGTTGGGTGAGGGAAAGGGAGAGATTAATGTAGGGGGAGGACAACATCAAACCGCCTGTCTCACTCGTCCTTTCTCTCCTCCTCTCCCCACCCTATCCCACGCTTCCACTGCCACTGCCTCTGTTACTGCGCACGTGCGTGTGTGTACGCACAGCGGCGTCAATAATAATTGTAACTTGGTTGTTGACAACTGAGTGAGAAGAGGAGGCAACATTCCACTACCCGTATCGGTTTCCATATTTGCCGAGAACTTGTTTAGACTTCCAACTTATTCAACTTCAATAAAGAAAAGTTATTAAGGGGTCTTTTATGGTGGTTAATTAGCCCATGACTTCCAGCATCACCAAACTTAAGGTTCTAGCTTGCCTTAGCTGTTATGCTGATTGACAAATTTGATGATAGAACATTAGAAATGACCTATTAAATTGATATATCTGGTTTGACTTCTATCAGATATTTCCAACTTTGTAACTAACTATTATGAATTCAACAGTCTTGTTGAGAGGTTCATCTAGGGTATAGACAATTGAGATGTACGGACGGCAGTTGTACTTCTCACTGCCGAATTTAACTGTCAATCGCAATCCAACTTTTGAAGTCGACTTTTAAGTCGTCCGCTTAAAATCGTCCTCTAATTTACTGCGAGCTTCAAGAGTTGATTGAATTTTTTCAGTGATATGTTCGGTTTGGCTGCATTAGGGTAGGGACTTTTCAATGCCATTCCCATGTGTACCTCCCACACCGAGACGACCAATTCTTATTAGCCAAAATTTTGTGCCCATAGAGCACACTGAAAAGTAGTATCTCTTTTTAACAACCGCATTCTTTCCAAAAAGTCATTAAAAAGCTGATCTTCATGAAAGCACCTTTCCAAAAGCTGACCTTTGACCTTTTTAAAAGTACCGAATTGATTCGATTTGGTTTAGCTAAATCAGTCCCTCTCTTGTTTTTCAACTAATGTTAAGACGGTCATAAACGTATTTCAAATATTTGTGTAAGATTCTAAATGAGTTGATTTCACGAGCCCCTACTCATCCTCATTACGAGTAGTATGTGTAGGGGTTAATTAGTCTGGGTTAGTTATTCCATCCAAGGTTTAATTAGATCCTACGCAACTGAAAAGCCGAAAAACCAGCAACAAGAAAGTAAAAAAGGAAACAATCTTTGCTCCTTTTTTTCCCTTGGGAATGCAACTGTTTGTGTCCCCGAAGAATTCTACCAGTCAGCTTTTAATGGTGTAAGGAGAACGCAGTGGCCAAGTTGTAACATGTTGCATTGCAAGCCTCTCAAAAACTTGTTGAATTGTCAATTGTTCCCATTCATTTTCTCAATACTATAATGTTAACATCTTTCCTAGCCTCGATATAAGCCCACTTTTTCATCCCTTTGTTCCCTTTTGTTCAAAGAAAATGCCAAGGAGTACATGCTTCCCCTTTCTGAATGGTTTAGTAGACTGCACAAACTTGCAAATTCTAGCCGTAAAGTCAAACGTCTGCGAATACTCCACCCTTTTAGGTTAACTTGGCCGCCTAGTTTCGTCTGTTGATAACCCTCCGTCGTCAGAAAATGGCAGCCTCGAAATGCATTGTTTACTGTTTCAATACCTAATAACCTTTTATTCGTTCTCTTCAAAGGGTCTAATAAATAAAATTGGCTTAGGGACAGACATTTCAGAGTGGATTAGTCTTATGACTGCATAGGGTCAGACATTTTTCCTACAGAAACGTATGAATTAGCTGCAAAGACATCAATCTCATTTTCTCCAAAAAAAATTGATTTAGTACTTGAAATTCCACTAATTATTACTTAAATACTTGAGATTGTAACACAAGATTGCTTAAAGTTATCTTTTAGGCGAGAGACAGTCAGCCAGTACAAGCCTCGTGGCGAGTTGGATGGACACCATCGGCCCCGAGGAGAAGAAAGCGTGCTCCCAACACGCCCATGCCATGATACCTCTGTATCCACTACCCGGTAAGGCATTTCCTCTCCCATCTCTTCTGCTCTTCCTAAGAGGAGGAAGGCTGAGGTGGAAAAGGGGAACAAGGGGCCTATTACGAGGAATTTCGTAGAGTTTCTTATTAAAAATAACCCCCAGTCGAGAAAAAAGGATTCTCACTCTCATTTTCTCTTTTACACAGTGCCAGAAAGGTGAGTAGTTTTGATTTGTTTACTGTAAAATTAGTCGGATGCTGTAATTTTTCCATTTATTCTTAAATTCCATCGAGTATTGAAACATTCCCGATATACACACATCGCCCTTCGTTGAAAAGAGGTATTTACTGCATACCAAGGTGTCAACGGACACATCAGCAATCGGTGTCACTCCCTCGGGAGCGAAAGGGACTGCATGCATTTAATGATGCTTCTGTATAACGCAAGCAGCCAGTACCATAAATTTACTAGAAATTACTCTTTTTAGTCAAATATGCTTTTTTTATGAGGCATTGCAAATGTTCCCTAACGCCGTAGTCGGGACGACCTAAGCGTGCTCAACAAACCAATTTAGTGTATGAAGGGAAATGGGAATGCAATAAGCCGCAGAGCTCGGATTAGGCAGAAAAAAATGCTGTTCTCAGATTAAAGACGGTCAATCATTCTGTAAGTATCACAAAGAGAAAAGGGATGGGTTGAATGCTCAAAATGGACATTTTTCAGTTACGATTGAGTAACTTTTTCCATCGCCCCACTTTTAGTACCGATGATGCGTTCCCTTTTCGCCAATACCACCACCACCACCACCACCTAAACTGGTGGACAAAAATTAGTCGGCTGGGTAAACTTCAAAGGCAACGCCACTGATGGAGTTTTGTTGATCTCTCGACAAACAGACGTGGTGCAACTCTCCTCTAATGGTTTTTTTTGCTGCCCGTCTTGACGCAGGTAAATTGAACCACTGCCTCCTGGTGGCAAATGTAAGAGCGTCGGGGGATTTTTATAATGCTATCGAACCGAATGCTTTTTAATCGTGACATTTTAGTGTTTAAGTTTATGAGACGTCCCGGGAGTAGACTGAAGCTTCGGACAGTCGCATTGGTTTCGTACGTAACGGCCGTGGATAAATAAGCGCCCGATTAGATGTAGCATTATTTCATTGCATAGCCTGGGTCTTATTCTTACTGGTATTGGTTTCAATGCTACCATTTTCTTCAGTGTGACGGACAGGATCAATATTGTCCAACGCCTTTGAACTTCCGATCCCGATAGTGATCTTGAATTATTATGGAGCAATGTAATTAGTGGACTCATCCGGTAAATAGGGTTGAAGAATAGATGGAATAAGGCATTTCTGTATGGAGGAAAGGTTGAACGAGAGGCCGGGACATCAAGGTGGCGAATGAATCGCAGGGAATGAGGGATCCGCGTAATTAAATATGTCTAGGAAAATAATTCTCATTATTTGAAAAGATGATCTCTTGACCAATACGATCCCTCAAAAGCCAGTTAAGCTTGTTTTTTCATGAATGTACACTTGCTCAGTTTTTTAATCCTTTCCGAGTCCCCTATTCATTTTAACTTGGCCTTTGAATTTGTTTTTTCTCCGCGAAAAGACTTCTTCCCTGCTTCTTGTTCGAAAGTTTTTTTATCAAGAAGAAAGTGCTGTTAATCCGACTCGGACGTGGCTCGGATACCGTTTGTGTAGTACTTTAAAGCTCAGTGTAGTATTGCTTTCTACACTAATGTGGTGTTTTAATTTCAAAGGTCGCCCGACTTTTACTCGTAGATTCAGAAACCACGTGAACTTTTGTTGTGTGACTTCATCAACTTGTACACTTTTGTCCAGCTGGATTAACATCCATCGCATCGTATCGCACCGCTCGTCAGCTATTTTACAAACAATTGTACTAAGAGCAGGAGGTCCTCTTTCAGAGGTTAAGTGACTTAAGATTGTGGAAATATATAAATCCACGTCTCAAACCTTAACTTATTAAATGCATCCACATTTAAGGCATGGTGATATACTAATAAACACAGGATGCGTGACCTGTTCGCGAACAAATTTTACTTAAAAAAACAAGAATTTTAATTGAATTTTATCTCATTTTTAAGCTTTAACATGTAGCTTCCAATCTTAGTGTAGACAATACAAGAGTAACTTTTTTTATTGCCTTGATCGCCAGCCGCGTAGATTCTCATTTTACATACCTTCCGCAGCACCGCCCGCCCCCCGCCCCGACGACACCCTTTTTTCGTGGGTTTCTATAGCTACTCTGGCGATTAATGACTATTTGAAAAATGCATATGGTCATTACCTCAGAAACCGCATTGAGATGGACGGCGTTTCTATTGAATGACTATTTTTAGTTATTAATGTTCCAAAATATGCCTTACAAGTTTCACAATAGGGGTAGGCTTTTATAATCCTCCTTCATTCATTAACAGCCAAACCCCTTTGAAACATCTGGACTTTTGTACACAAAAGCTTTTGTAAAACCCCTTTTTGCCAGTTGTATCTCAATTTTAAGCCTTTTATCTATTTCTTTCGGTTCATTTTAATTTACTTTAACCAAGCAATTTTCAAACCACCTCCCCGTGCCCTGTACTCGGCCAATTAAGACACTTGTGCAGAACCAAAGGAGTTATTTATTTACTGCACAAATATTCACGAACCGCGAGAGGTTAAGAAAAACTTCACAATATTTCACAGGAAAAGAGACGCTAGGAGTGGGATGAGGCGGAGGAGGAGGCGAGGAATTGTGCGAAGGGGTGAGGCGAGAGGAGACAAGATATCGAGAGGGAATGCAAGCCAATAAATGGTCGATAATTTTGAAGGTTGGAATGTCTGCGTAACGGTGAGAAGGCGAAAGAAGGGTGATAGTTGCATAGTCGTGAGACCAAAGTGAGAGGGACATGGGCGGTTGGTTGATTGGTTGGCCAGATGGCGTGGGTTGGAATGGGAGGGGAAAAGCATCGCGTTATATGATAGGATTATTTTGATAGGGCTTACAAATCAAAATCAATATCCTAGTCCGAAAATGCGGTTCAGGGAGGCAGAGGTAAAGAAGAGGGGGTTGGGGGAAGACATGTGGGGGGGGATCTCCCTTACGTATCAGAAACAGCCATAAATATATATATGTATGTACACATGAAGATAATATATCTCAATAACGGAATGCTCATTATAGATAGGATTGGTCTGGATAAAACGCTGAACTGAAACAGACACCGTACTGACCCCTCATCTCCCCGCATCAGTCCAATGAACTCAGCAATTACAGGGAGGTGGGAGGCGTGTAAATGAGTACGTTTGTGCCTCCGTTTGCTCTACGGGGTTGGAAATAAATCGGTACGGTGAGGAGGACAAAGGAGCAGGGAATAAATGAACTGAGCCACTGCAATGGGCTATCGGTAGTCTTGATTGCCTTCTTCTGTCAGTTTGAGGACCTTTTATTTCGGTACGAAACCGACGATAATACCGATGAGAATGCATATCAAGATTGCTACGCAGACACCAATGATTACGAGTTTCTAAAAAAAAAGGTTAATAAGGTTACTTCCCTGCCGAACATTTTTGTAGGCGTTAGGGAAGTTTGCATGATGAAAAAGGTAACATGCAAAGTGTTTTAACATGCAAACTTTAACCTTCGCTTGGATTACAAACACGTCACGATCAGTCTGTCATTTGCATAGCATTTGATTCGATGCCACTGAAAACCGATTTATTTATAAAGATACCTACCTCTTCAGAATCATGTAAAGGCCGTGGCAGGAATGCTTTGGGTCGCCTACATTACTTCTACTTAGATACTCGTAAGGGAGAAAACCATTTGCTCACCGAGTCTGCTTTCACACTTTCCGGAATTGGAGAGGTACTGCTTTAATCAACACCGATCATTCTACTTCCTGTCAACTTTTCCCTTCAAAAGGCAAATAGTCTGGCACGGGTCATAATTTCGCACAAAAATTAATTTTCCATTTTATTATTGCCATAAAACCAAAATGAAATAGTAATATTTGAAATCCAGTCCATTTTTTGAAAATTCACCGAGTGTAGAGTATGAAGCAGTAGAGCTACGAAAAACATTTCTACGGAACCGGAATTAGTCAACGAATTGTTCAATTTTATTCTGTGAAATTCATACTTCATTTTCTAATGCAGAAAACTGTCACCAAGACCGTTTTTCATCCTAATATGGCCGCACAAAACATTTTCATTTACGTGGAAGGGGTGCGATTCCTGATTCTGTGTGACTAAAAGAAAACCTTTAATTGTTTCGGCTGAACTACTTAGTAGGTAACTATTCCTAACTGCCCATTGAAGCCACCACTGTGGTCTCACTGGCAAAGGTTTTCCACCTCTAAGAACACAGAATTTCTATCAAGGGTTGGAAGGAATAAACCGGAGCGCTTCTGTCAACACCACCCCAAATTATTCGGCTAGTCCACCTTTGACTGCAATCGCCTCTTCAAAGCTTCTAATTGACAATTTTAGTGTCTGAAATCCGCTTAATAAAAAAATAATGAAGCAGCACTTGAAAAGTCCTCTTTTTTAAGTGAAATTCTGCAGTAATTTTAAGCCTGTTTAAATTCCTTTGTTGAGGAAAGACACTAACGGAGACTGTTTTAAAGTCATCAAATATAAATAGAAATGCACATTTCATCTACACATTGCTGCCAAAACATTTACAAGTTTCCGTTTGTAATTTCAAGAGGGAAGCTTTTCTATTCCTTGGGCACGTATAAGTCTGCCAAGTGATTGACCTAAACAAGGTGCAACTTCCATTGCTACCGACATTCACATTTCTCAGTGCAATCTTTACTTCATTCGTGAATTGGCATTGGAATTCTGTTTGTACTAAATCAAAAAAACAAAATAGCTTTGCCGAAACCACTTTAACGTGAGTTTGGTTTCCCTCTTAAACAATAATCCACTGCTATAAAGGTATTTTAGGTAAGTATTTCAATTCCGGGCTGTTTTCTATTCCAAACAGGAATGTGGTTGCGCTTCAATCGACGAGATGCTTTTAAAATTTTTATGCTCCGCAGAATGAAATGTGGGCCTACAGACAGAGAAAAACATGTATTTTTGTGGGCGAAAGTGATGCTTTTTCACCTCCTCCAGTCCCTCCACGTCATACGCACCGTACTCGCACCCTCCCCACTCTCCCCCCTCCCTCGGCGTTGGAGGATTGTAGTCGCGGAAATGCGATGCATGCAGCAGTGCTGTTGCTCATCACAGTAGCACCTCCTAGAAGTGTAGCTGTTGTAGCCACGCGGAGCCAATCAACACGCTAACGGCGCTCACAACCCCCGTTGGCACGAGGTCGGAACGCGCGTGTGTCTGGCTGCGTGCGCACGTGTGAGCGTGTGGGTGCAAGGGAGGGGACAAACTGTCTCGTGCGCACGCACCTCCACGCGCCAAGGTAGGCGTGCGCGTGTGAGTGGGTGGGTTGTATATGTCAGTCAGGGAGTTAGAAGGTCCGCTGCCGTTGCTCCCTCTGGCAAGTTGAAATTGATTTCAAGCCCGCGCATGCCCGCACCAGGCGCGCTCAGTCAGTCATGCCCTTTCCGGGCATTGCCTGCTTGCTACTTATTAACTCCTTCTCCCGGCCGGGATGCCTTTTTCCCACGAAAGGGCAATCCCACTACACCTGCCCCATTCGGGTTGATGTCGCTGCCACAGATTTCGATGCGCTCGCCTTTGCGTTGAGCGAACACATGCCGATCAGCTATTATTTGCTGTTAAAAGTGGTCTGCGGAGCAATGAGCTGTACAAAAAATGAAATCTATTTGACGTTGTGTTATGACTAGAGCGTATTGCGACCAGGTGGCAGTCTGCACAATGCCATTCAGTGCGATGCTGCGATTAAAAACAGATTACGATTGGGCAGGAAAAGTCGGTAGTTTAATGCTTCAGCATGAGCTCGACAGGCAACGTGCGGAAGATGAAGATCCATCAAAGTTTTGACAGTTGGTTAGAGCATTCTAGTGGCGCTAAAACATGTGCCAAAAAAAACTATTTATGAGGCTTTTTGGGCTTTTTCATTAGTGGCTAATGATTTCCTTTGTCTTTCTTACAAAAATGCACATAGGATGAGCGAATTTGGTGCAGACCGCAGGGACGTGATTGAGGAAAAGATGCTGGGGAAATTATCGCGGTTCCACAGTGTTGATAAAGTAATGAAGAATGCGGATGCACGATGTATCACCCGAACCGGATTGCCGCAATACGTTCGGCAGAGTAAGCAATACTTGTCGTCTATTTGGAACAAATTTAAAGCCTACATAAGCTTAAAGAATGGGATAAGTAAATGAAAGACAAAAGGACCACAAACGTGCTCCAGGTACTCCTTTTACGGAAATGTAAAATTAATGGACAATTCACGCGTGCACTCGCCCGGAGCTCAAGGACTGCTGTGAAGATGACCTTCCAAAAACACGGTAGGTGAATTAATTTTGTCATTATCCCAGACCCGGGCAACTGTTCCCTTTAGCTTTGTGTACGCACAGTAATAGTGAATAATTGTTTCTTCAGCAGGCTCAGTCTACATGCATTTTTTTGGTTTAAACTGAACAGGCTTGTTACCGACACTATTTGGTTCGGCTAGTCATCATAAGCTGTTATAATCCACATGTCACGTATGTGTGACGCTGGTGTTAAACGCATATTTGAGTAGGCTTAGTAGAGCGAGTGGAAGAAAAGTCAAATATTAAAGTCACAAGATGGCAATGCCAAAGGCCGACCCAAAATAAATGCTCCTTTTTTTAAAAACGCATAAAAACGAAGAATGAGCGTGTGATTTTGGGAATTTTAGTCGACTTTGCATTGTCCTAGGGCGCTGCATGGTCAAACAAATCGTCAGTGGTGTTTCACTTAGTTTCTTTTATTTACTCAGTACTGCAGACGATTTCTCAAATGAAATCCGGAATAATTCAGTATTTCGTTTTATTCTACCAATTTTCAGCTTGTTTTGTTTTTTGCGATTTCACCTGGTCCGCATGCCTTTATCGTTGTGCGGTCTTCCGCAGGTTCTCTTAATTTCCCATTCGATCAAAGAAGTGTACCTAACCGCTCCAAACTAATTGTGTTTTTATGGGCCTATTAATGACTTGACATTCTTGAGTTCACAGCAGCGGTTTTGAAATTTTGTTGTGATGGAAAGAAAACCTCTCACGGCCCGGTATCCAACAGTCCTGAAGTAAAAAACAAACCCACAAACGTAGCACATGGCCTATAGTGAAGTGTATTTCGATAACTGTTACAACAAAGTCTAGAGGGCGCAGAACTTTCAACAAGGGATTTTAAAGAATCTTCTCTGCCACCTTTCGCCAAATGTATTTCGACATGAGGCTGGATTATAAAATCATATCAGGGGTTGGCAAATGAGTAAATAAAATAATGCAATTGGTGCATGTATCCAACAAAGTGCAGTGAAGTTTATGAGCATGGCGACTTTCACAACTGCGCACACGCATAGAGACCACAATGGGTTCTAGTTGGGGGTCTCTGGAAAAATGCATTTGGGGTTCTCGTGGATGGCTGAGATTTTGTGCTTTACCCCAAATCGTCTTACACTTCCGTAAGAATTAGAGCTATAAGACTGCCTGAAGATCTGAATCTAATTTTGATAAAAGTTTTTGAGGAAGCATGGAACGTTTTCTGAGGAGCAAACTGAGTGAAGACGTTCCACAGACCAAAATGCCAGCAAATAGGTGATAGTAACAATCACAACTAAAACACATGGAAGTTGAAATCGGGGCGGCGGCTGGTCATTAATTTTTAACAGCTACTGTTGGTTGTCGCAAAAGCGCATTTTCTGCATCCGGGTGTGATTTTTTTATGGAAAACAGGGCTAAAGGAATAGTCAATTATTTGGGTAAACTTATTGTCGTTAAATATTTGAAAAGATTAGTAAAGCTATCCAATAAATTGTGATAAATTCTGTCAAAGGCAGATGAACTGGACACAGTCTTCTTTGCAAAACCCAAGTAGCATCCATTCACGGACTTTCCGATTTCCATATCTGCATAGCGCATACCTGCAGGGCCAGTCACTCGGGATTTCCATTGATGAATAAATGACTTTGTGGAGGGAAAGTGGACAGTCTGTCCTAAATAGCTTCATTAACTTACTGACCATCACCTTT